GTCAAGAGTTGCATAAGTGAATTGATCTCTTCTAGAATTGAGGCATCAGTCAAGGGGCTGAGGAGAGGTGAGGCAACTTGCTCTTGCAGGGGGGATATATTAGAGGGTCCAGTTTAGTGCCATTCTTTTGAAGGAAGCCCTAGGTAGCTGTGCAGAGCTTATGGAATACTGATTTCATGACCCAAGGCATAATGGCCAGCTTGGTATGGAGGATCAGAAGCTCAATGTCTGTGAAACTTCTCTATTTCCAGAAAAGCCCAGTATGTGGCCAAAACTTGCCATTCTAAAGATGTATGGTGTAGGGCCAGGGAGAAGTCCACCATCAGCTTATGGCCATGGTACAGAGATAGTATAGAGATTCCAGGAGCAATGGGAAGTGGTCAAATTGTATACCTTTATTTCAATTTTGTTCTCTCTCCCCATATCCAAGATGCCTTCCTCCTTTTTCTTTCTTTTTTAATTTTTCCCCTCTATAAGCTGCTCATATTTATAAACTTTTTACTTTAGAAAGCCTCAAGTGACTACCATTATGGTTAGGGGCCTTTTCCAAGGAATGGTTGCATCATAGGGTTTAAGGACCCCAGACTTAAGTTGGGTTTTAAATAACACCTATGCTATGCCATAGGGGTGTCATGGGTATTTTACCCTGTCAAACTGAGAATCATGATCTTTGTTGTAACAGAGAAACAGAAAACATTTTGGCACAATGGAAGAGTTCTGGGATCACAACCCAGAGGTCATTCTAAAAGCCATTGTCTACTATAGGCATGCAGTCTTCCTCCTTTTTTTAATCTCTCTTTTCTCTCCATACAAATTTCCTCAGAATATTTTGAATTCCATGTAAAGTTTAGTAGTCACAGATTTCAGTTTGTTTCCTGATCTCTCTTGGTGCAGACCTTCTGCATGGTTGAAGATAAAAATGTTGGGAGCCTAGCAATCCACCTGTAGACAGCTAGGGAATACCAGTCGATCTCCTCAGTGCTGGGGGCTGCAACTAGTAAGGTCATTTTGACTGTGAGGCAGTGATGGCAGTCAAGTATTTTGCATCCTGGTAAACAGCAACACTAAGAAAAGCCTAGGCACTTTTGGGTAGGGTTTTTCATTGGGAGAGCAGTTACGTTACCTCTCCAATGTTTTAAGAGGGGTTGGTAACACATGCTCCTAAACTCTCTTTCATGATTTTTCCATCAGGTCCTTGACAATGGGCTGCCATGGATGTTTACCTTTTACCCCTGGGAGTCAGGAGGATGCATGGGATGCACTGAGGGAACAGTTACACAAGAAATGGGCAAGGTAGCTACTCTTGCCTGAATGGCAACTCTTGTTAGGTAACCTGGGAGCCATGCTTAATTCTTTCTATATCGGTCTCCTTCTTTTCTACAAACCTGACAATGTGTCATCCCATGTTCCTCATGGGGATATGCAGTCACAGTTAATATCCACATGGCTGCCCTAAGCAGCTAGTAATTGTCACTACATTAGGTGCTGTAACCAGAGGGCTCTAGCTTACCCTTGGTAGGTAGGACTCAAGCACCAGACTATCTTTAAGGTGCTATGTTGTCACTACTTTTATGGGCAGGAGACTCAGACAAACTTACCAAAAACACAGACCAAACCTAACAGTCAGTCAAGTCATGCCCAGGTATTGTCAATTAACAAGAATTTTTCTTTTGGGGAACAACAAGAGCTTCCTAGAAAGCAAAGAGAGGGAACAAGATGGCACTGGAAGCAATTAGTGGTTTGTTCCCACCTGGTCTTCTAGTATCATGAAACCACTTAGTTATCCAAAAGCAGTGACTGAAAATTGACCAGGTGTCCTTGGTCATGGTTGGACCGTCCTTTAAGAGGTTATTTTACTTACCTACCATTCAGTGTACTGAAGATGGAGGGATATCTGCCCTAATGTTATTGGGATGAAGAACCTGCTACTGGACACTAGAAAAATGGCATCTGCAGCAATTTATTACTCACAACCTGGGAGAGGTGGACACTGCACTCTGCACAGAACCACATGGAAGTTGCACTTGGAAACAGAGGGAACAACCATGGACTGTGGGAGAAAAGCTTTTTGTTTCAAGAAGTGCACCCTGGTTCCAAGGGGATGATATGATTAGCTTATTTGAATAATTCCATGTGATAACAAGGAACTGAAGCCAGGGAACTGAAGCAGGACCTGTGCCTGTTCTCCTAACCTGGTCTGGTTAGGAGACCTCATCTTCTGGAGCAGAGTGGGAAGGGAACTTGAAGTTGGGCTTTTTGAGACCTTCCAAGTAATGCCAACACGTAACAATGGGCCTTAATTTTAGGCCTCATACATTGACGGTGAAGAAACCAAAACTCTTTGTGAATGCTTGAAGAATTTAGTTCTTGGTCAGGCTTAACTCATGCCAAATTTTCTGTTGTTAAGGTTTGATTCTTTGAAAGAGTTTCCATATTATCTTCTAAAGTAAGTGGATTATTTTTGTAAATAAACTTTCCAATCTTTAACTCCAAGCCTTTCAAGTATAAGTTTTTTTGAATTATTACTTTCATCATTTCTTCCTTCTTTTTCTTTCTTTTTTCTTTTTTTTTGGATCCTTTGTTGTTCGGTTGCTGAACCTCCTCTACTGGTCTGTCAATTTTCATTACTTTTTCTTTTTTATTTTCTATATTTTAAAAATATACTTTCTGGATATTTTGTTACATATCTATTCCAAACCTCTACTGAGCTTTTTATTATTATTATTATTATTATTATTGTTACTTTACTTCTAAGAGTTATTTTTGTTTTGAAATGTTTCTCTTTTAAAAGATTGTTAACTCTTTGTATGTGTGATACTTTGTTTTATTCGTCTGAATACATTGATGATAGTTTATTATACATTTTATTTTTTCTGAATAGTGTTTCCTGGGATTATGGTAGAGACTCTTTGTGATGTCTTATGATATTTGATTGTCAGCTCATAATTAAAACGGTAGGTACTCTGAAATGCTGAGGGTAAACTCTGTCCCTGTGTGGAAGGCTTGTTGAGTATGTTTGTCTGTAGGTCGATCTGGCTAACATTTAGTTGCAGAACTCCTGACCAGTATCTTTCAGCATATTTTTCTTCTTGGTCTTGTTAGATAATCAAGATAAATATTTTCAGATCTTCTTCCTGGAGGTATAAGCCTGGGTACTTGAATTATGAAAACTAATTGGGAAAAAAAATCTAGAAGACCCAAGATCCAAACTTCTTCGTATGACGATTGCACATTAAACTGTGCCTGCTGTCTTCTAATCTAGGAGCTCTCTGTTTCAACCTCCTAAGAGAATAATAAATCTGCTGTCTTCTAACCAGAGGGAATACTTATCACCTACATGTACACAGTTAATGAGGATGTCAGGGATATCTAACTGCTTCTTAACATTTTTAGTCTTCTTTATTAGGCTTATTTTTACCCCTACTTCAGAACTAATTTGTGCTATCGATTACTGAACCTTTGGAGTTTTCTATGGGATAAACCAGGTTTCTTCTTTACACTCTTAACTTCCAGCTAAGGTTTTAAAACTTTCGTAGTTAATATGTCAATTATGACATTTTATCTCTTTCCAAATGTTCAGAATGTTGTCGTAGTTATTTCCTCAATAGTTTGTCTTTTATTTGTCATTGTAGCTTTTTCGTTAAATATTTTTTCACGTTCATGACGTTTTAGGAAGAAGAAAGGTTAGTGAATTAACTGACCTCTCCCCTCTCTGTAACTGGGAGCTTGAAAATGAACTATTAACATAATAAGAAACATCTTCTAAGCATAACACAGAATGTCATGAGGAAATTTGATCTTACATTATTGAGAGTTTGAATGTGGGAATCTCTTTAGTATATTTTTCATTGCTGTTAGAGAAGCACTGATATGTTTGAAATTAAATCACATTTTGGAATTAATAATTAAAAATTTAAATATACATAGTTTCTTTATTTTATTACGTATCAATAAATAACAAAATACTTTTTCCATATGCCAGTATTAGAATAACTTATTTTTACCTTTTTGTAATATCATTATCTTGAAATCTAAAGTAATTTTAAATCAATAATGTTAAAACCAAAGGGGTAATATGCATAGTTATATTTGTTATAGATTAGAACAGTGATTGTTTATTCAGTTGTCTTTAAGGCTATTACATTAAATTACAATATAAAACTCAGTATAGCTTTTTTCTCATTGCATTGGTTTATTTATCATATTACTCTATTTTGAATAGTGGCCTGAAATTAGTGTCCAAACAGTATCAGACAACTAGCAAGCTTCAGTACTTGAGGTCAATTTAATTACACTGTGCATGACAGAAACTAGGCCATTTGGGCATTGCCTTTGCCACCAGCAATTGACACCTGAGTGTTAATGAGCTGATAATTAAGAGCTGGCACATACAGACACATTTTACTGTTTGGGACTAGGATAACCATATGCTGCATAACTTCTGTGCTAAGTACTTTGTTAGCTTCAGAATTTACACAATTATATTCGTGAGTTGCTTTTTTTAATCTCAATTTTTTATGCTAAAAAAAGATAAAAACTGTTATTTAAAAAATGCAAGTAATGATACTCATCAATTTCAAGTTAAGAAACTTTCTAAAACTAGCAAGATTATATTTGGAGAGCAATATATTTGGGAAAAAGGAAGACTGCAGAATTTGTATAGCAGAATTACTTTTGGTTTAAAACCACACTGACAGAACTTGCATTTTGAAATGTCTTTTGTAATATGAAAAACTACCTAAGGCAATTTAACATGACTGTGTATATTTATGGTTGGCAGCCTCTATGATGGCCTACAATGATTTTCACAGCCTAACACTGACGGCCTTGAGTAATATCTCTTCCCTGAATGTACATGTGATATAGTAAACCACCTCTAAAAAGTCAATGTGATAAAAGTGAAGTGATTTCACACTTTGCATTAGGGTATCAAAAAGCTATTGTTTCCATTTTGAGGAACTTCTTACATACTGTCTCATTCTTTTTTGGATTGCTTGCAGAGCTATTGTGGAGGCAGCTACGTGGAGAGACCAATGTGGCACAAGATCAAGGGCTACCACCAACCACATGAGTGAGCTTGGAAACAGACTCCCAGGTTGAGCATTCAGATGAGACCACAGCCTCTGCTGACAGTTTGACTGCAACCTTCTGAGAGTCCTTATCCAGTGGCACTAGCTAAGCTGAAATAAATTTTTGAACCACACTGATTGTGAGATAATAAATATTTGTGGTTTTATGTTGCTATGTTTTGGGGTATATTGCCATGCAGCCATAGATATTTAATACATTATGTAGGTGAGAATCCTATTGTCTGATACAGGAATATGAAGTATTGATTTTTCTGGTGTGATGTGGCCATTTTAGAAAACAATATATATAATGTACACACTGTTCCTTTACTTTCCTCTTCAAATTTCAGTTCTTGCTTGTTCTCTTTTCCTGACCTCGTACACAAAAAATAATCCCCACCATTTTTGGGATTAATCTATTGGCTTAAAAAAAATAAAACTGTTCTCATCAGATGAAAAATGTATTAACTTTAGTGATTTTTAGTTGTGGGAATTACTTCTAATTTTCTTCTTTGAAACAGTTTGCTTTTCCATAGAATCCTCTGTAGGACATATAGCCTTTTATATGCAGATTCATATACTTATGCTTTGAAATAGCTCTGAATTCCCTGTAGCTTAAACTGAGAACATGAAAGGCCAAATGTTATGTCGAACTGAAGGATATAAAAGTGCACGTACATGAATCCAAAATGAGATATAGAAATGAGCGGCTTTTCACACAGTGATGTCAGTTTTAGACAGATTATTGAAGGGTCTTTATAACTGCAGAGATTGCCATGAAAACTCTGCCTGGGGATAGTCTCATCAGGTTGCATTTTGTGTTTCTTCAATACCAAAAGGTGAGTAGATGTTAAGTGAAACAAGAGAAATACTCTGTGACAAAAGTGTTAACTCTCTTCCCAAAAATGACATCTGGTTTCACATAGCAAACACAGTGCGATCTAGTGATGGAATCATCTACCCAATCTGTCACTCTAGAGATGGCAGCCTAGATGAGATGCTTACATTTTAAGAAGTTGATAGAAAACACACACGGCAATCTTTATCTTCACAATGATTCCATTGACAGACAAAGGCCTCTTCTGCACAGGAGGGGAGATTATTGTGCCAGTGACAGACACATCGAGAGTATTTAAAGCACCCACATTCTCTCTTACCACCAGCAGTGAGATAAAAGAAAAAGAATTGTTTTTTGTATGTTCACAACTTGAAATTAATACTATACTTATTTAAAAACAGATTATAAAAAAACTCAACTTTATATTGGAAGAGTACGTAGTGTTAACTTGTAATATCCCATAATTATCATGCTTATTTTGAATTAAGTAAAAATATATCTTAGAATTGTTCTCTTGCATCAGCTATTCATAGAGAAACCATTTTTTTTTCTATTTACAGTGCATATCCTCTCCTGAAATTATATCTAAACAAAGGAATAGAATATCCACATTATCTGGCCTTGTTAGTAAAAAGAAATGTATTTTAAAATTTAAGACAAAAATCTCCTTAATTCTGGTGTTTCTAGAATGTGCAGATATTAAGTAGGTACAATTGAAATCAGTACAAACTGAGGACAACAATTTTTTGAACAAAGTATATACTTTGCAAGTAATACTTATTCAAAGGGAATTGGGTATGTGTTGAAAACAACACTTAGGTATTCACTCTAAGCCAGAAAATTCTGCCATATTTTGCACTTTGCAAACTTTACCACTTATAATCTATAAAGTATGTATTGGAAGAAAATGATGATAGCTCAAGCAAAAACATAATTGTTAATTAGCTCTGACACAGCAACAAAAAAATCTAATCTATGAAAGTGTTTTTTCCTGAAATAATTAACATAAATTTAAAAAAATCAAAGGTTTCAAACATATGCTATAATGTTTACATTGTTCATGCCACTTCATTAATTTATACTTTAGGAAATACACAATGTATAATAGATAGCATGATGACTCTAAAATTATTACAAATAATTTTAGACTCTCCTCTCACTTTACTACTTAAAAATGTAAACTTGGTAAAGTTTTGCTAGCTAATTCAGAAACACGTATTAGTTCTTATACCTGAATTAGGGTCATGAATTGAATTTTAATCAGAATGATGTTTGACAAAATAATTTCCATTTTATAGGGACAATCTTTTATGATCTGGGGGGTATACTCATTGTATATATTCATGTGAAGTCCTCTGTTCAGTGGAAGTTCTGGGTAGAAATAAAAAAGCAAAAGAAATATGTAAAATTTTATACTACTCTCAATGACTTATTAAAATTGTTTCGGTCATAGATTTTATCAGTCAGCATGACAAGTCATCTCTTCTTGATAAAGGGAATGAAAGAACATCTCTACCATGACTTTTTATATAACGCCATACCAAGATATGCATCAAAAGTAACAGAAATTTTGTAAGGAAATGCAACTCCAAACGGTGGCACAAACCATAATAAGCATATAAAATTCATTTAAAAATAAAAACTGAGATAATTCTAAAGTTACAGGAAAACTAATATTGATTGAGTGCTCTTTCTGTGACAAGTATTATGCCTGTCATCACCACACTCAAATGAGAAAGGTACTATCTTTAATATATTTAAAATGATAAAGATGTGAAAATCATGTAAACTTCACTTCTTAATTATAAGGCTAGTGTACATTGGAGCTTAGAAGTGACCTCTGACCAAATGACACCTGCTTTTAGTTCCCTTAATTGGTATGGGGAAAAAAGACAAAATAAAATGAAGCAACTCATCACTTAATCTTCATTAAACTAGTCTAAAATAGATATTTTGTGGATTTAATTTTAAAGAGAAACGATTTTAGATACATAAATTCCCCCTATATTTAAACCAAATAGCTCTGTTGTTTAAACAAAGTTCATGGTGGAAATAATGGAAATGATCAACGGACTTTAAGGTTTAAGTTGTAGGTTGTGTGCTTTTTCCCACATCTCCAAATTATGACAGTATATCTCACATTATTTTAAGTGTGTGTGTGTGTGTGTGTATGTCTGTGTGTGTGTGTGTGTGTGCGTGTTTGAGAGAGAGAGAGAGAGAGAGAGAGAGAGAGAAGAAATGAGGTAAGAATAGATGATGACATTATTGGTAATGAATATAATATTATAGAATGAAGCACAGTAGAATACATTGGAATAAAATAAGATCTAGAGATCTTGTTTAAAATTCCCAAATGCATGCTCCCTAATCTTCAGTTCCACTAGATTGAGGGTGGGGGAGGATGTGAAGTAATGAAATGTTTATTTCCGAATTGATGTCACATACTATATCAATTTTTGAAAGATTTACAATTCTTTAGCATGTTAAAAGTCTCTGAATGGTTCTTTAAAAAAATTGTTATTTATCATTTTTTAGCCTATGCTTTCTAACCACTGATCATAAAAGTATTTTTCATAAAATTAGCAGCCACAAATAAGAGTTTTGAGGGAAATGCATTGGGGAAGGTTGATTTATCATTCCACCTATTTCACAGAAGTGGAAAATCAGGCCCTGAGGAGTGTGACTTAAAGTCCTGTGACAACTAGTAGCAGAATTGGAATTAAAATGCATAAAGCTGATAACGTTTTATGCACACATCAAACTCAGGATGTGGAAGTAGAGGGCCTGGGCTAAGAATCATCTTCTAATACTTTAAATCTGTGTGACTTTTGAAAAATCACTTAACGAAACTGTGCCTCAGTTTTCTATTTTATAATTTGTGACTAATTATTTAACTTTTCTAACTGGATTATCAGCACATCTTATGAATAATGCATATACAATTTATTTGGATCATGGTTACAATAAATGTTGTGGTATGTTATGTATGTTTAGATAGATTATAGAAGAAGTGAGAAGAATTACTACAAGGTAAAAAATGTTATACATATTTCCTTTTCATTAAGTTTGCCAACAGAGCTCTAGGATTTTGTGTATTGCTGGGAAGCTAGAGTCGGTCTTGTGAGACTTTATATTGAGAAAAACAAATCTTTGGACATCATCATTAAATAATTGCATATCGAATAGGTGATAAATAATTAAAATTGTGACATGGTTTTGGAATGTATTTATGTGGGTTCAGATCCTGGCTAAATCACTTACTAGGTCATTGATGGAAATAGCAACAACCATACTCATGAAATTGTTGGAGGATTATTGTGTTAGTCCATTTTCATTCTGTTAAGAAGAACTAAATGAGACTGGTAATTTATAAAGGAAAGGTGTTTAATTGACTCGCAGTTCCACATGGCTAGGAAGGCCAGAGGAAACTTACAATCATGGCAGAAGGGAAAGCAAACCTGTCCTTCTTCACATAGCAGCAGGAGAGGTAAGTGCAGAGCAAAGTGGGGAAAGCCCCTTATAAAACAATCAGCTCTCATGAGAACTCGCTCACTATCATCAGAACATCATGGGGGAACTGCCCCTATGATTTAATCATCTCTCAAGAGGTCCTTGCCTCAACATGTGGGGATTACAATTCGGATTACAATTCAAGGTGAGATTTGGGTGGGGACACAGAGCCAGACTATACTGATTATATAGGTCTCTCTGTGAATTATAACTTGTAATAAATTGATAAAAATCTCATTTCTTTGTTCCTATTACCATACTTAACAATGATTTATCCTTTAGAAGTCAAATGTAGTCAAATCACCTACCAGAAACTTAATGATGTCAGTGTTTTTGCATTTTCTATTTCAAGACTTTTTAAGAGAATAGTATTTGAGGGAAGGAGATAGATTGTTAACAGTACATGAAGATATTACAAGTTGCTTATCAATTTAATATTTGACTTTAGAAAATAATCTAAAAAGATCATAATTGTAAGAATATTAAAACACCTTTAAAACCTGTTTTTAATAACATCATGTTTTTCTTTCAGAAAAATGTTGCTTATTTTCACCTGCTCTTTCTTTTCTCTACATCAAATAAAATTTAGCACAAATTTGATATCAACTGTGTACACTTTACTAAAAGCGAGTGTCATACTTGAAGTTTACCTAACTATGCCTTGAATATCTATAAAGGAGGAGCTTTAGCTAAATATTCTAAAAATTTGTAATTGCATTGACTTTTGTAAAATTATTTTCTATTATTAATATATACAGTTTTATCTACTTGTGGAATGGTCTTTATGTGGGAGACAGGTGACCTGGGAACACATCAATAACATATGTCTATGAAAATTAATTTCATGCTCTAAAAATTCATCTTATAGATTAACTTTTAGCAAAGGAATTGTAAGTTGGGCATTGTCAAACATAATGTTTTTTAGTCATATGTTTTGAATAGCACAGATGAAAATAAAATTAATGCCTTATTCATCTTTCTCCATATAAGGATGAAAGATAAAACACATTTTATTGATTTTACTGTTCTAGAACAGTCTTTCTTTAGATAACTTATGTAGAAGTCCTATGAATGCAAACAGAGAATTTATTTTTATTTCACACTTCAGTATATTTTAACTCTCTCGATTTATGAAATCAGACAGTGAGATTTTTAAATTAATATGCTTTTGTAAACTTGGGTTCAGGAAATACATGCTCATGTACTGTACAGTCAGCCTTCTGTATCCAGGGGTTCCAGATCTGTAGATTCAATCAACTGTGATGGAAAATATTTTTAAAAACCTAAATAATAAAAACAACAATACAACAACATAAAATACAAATTGAAAAATACAGCATAACAACAATTTATGTAGTATTTAAATTGTATTATGGATTATAAGTAATCCAGAGATGATTTAGAGTGTGAGAGGATGTACATAAGTTATACACAAATACAACACCTTTTATATATGAGACAGGATCATCCTTGAATTTTGCTATCTAAGGGGGTCCTGGAACCAACTGCCCACAAATACTAAGAGATGACTGTATATACTGTGTGTGTGATTGTATACACACATATTTTATGCACACATATATTTTACTTTTGTATGTATATACACACACACATATTTGTCATTTAATGACATTTTACCTAATTATGTAAAAGTATATCTATCAATCTTCAGAAATAAGGTGAAAAATAATATTATTTGTTTAAAAACAGATTATTAGTAAGTAACTGATTTGCATGTAATCAAGACCTATAAGGAGCTTTTGAAGACACTGATAAATTATATTCATCACTTATTCTTAATTAAAAAGGAGATTGAAATAACACTTTGATGAAGAGAAAGGAATTAATGTAAGCACTGTAAGACATTGTGATTTTTTTTCTTTTATTACAGAAAGGCTTTCTAACATGATTTACCTGACTAATATTTGAGGTGTGCAATTATCAGTAATAGCAGGTCATGTAATAACTTTTTCAAGCTTAAGTAGCTCTAATACGCATATATTCTAAATTCAAGAGACAAGAGGTTTTAAGCAAATATGATAATCTGACTGATATTCTCTTAGTAACCCTATAGTTAGTTGCATTTCCTTGTTGATTATCACATATACTTTTCTGCTTTCTTTACATTGTTACAATGTTTCCATCACTACTTTCGGGTCTGCCTCACCCACACCATTCAACAGATAATCTTGCTTTCTAGCTCAGAGAAACAATTTAGGCATCAGAAAAGATTCTGCATCCTTTACAACACTCATAATCTTACAGTCATATGCACCCATCCTTCCATTTTAAGAGAAGCATTTTTTTGGAAATTATTTATATTGGTCAGGTTACAAGCAACAGAACATCTAGATTAAGAGAAAAGGACAACATTGGCTCAGGTAACTGGAAGACTCCTGCATGAGTTTGTTCAAGATTCCAAATGAGAAGACTAATATCTAAATTCCAAGATTCATCTATGCATTAGTGCTTGAATCCCATTTGTTCCCGCTTGCCTCCTTAGACATCCATCAATTATGCCCTTCTTTTCTTTATCCCTTTCAATGTATTTTCCCTCAGTATATAAACACAGTCAGTCTATCCAAACTTATACATCCTTCCACAACATCTAGATTCATTGCTATATGTAATCTCTCCCTTTGTCTTAAGATACCCTAGCGCAAACACTCAGGTGCCCTTTCACTTCAAATCTTGTTTTAAAGCCAACTCCTCAAACTTAATATATCTGAAACTTAGAACTTCACTTTGAATCCCCCACAGAACTTGCCCTCTTTGCTTGAGATTTATCTGTCATAGAAGTGAAACAGGTCCCCTCTGAAGCTAGGACACACATTAATTCAATTGCTAACTATATTTGGCTTTTAGTTCTTCTGCCCACATTTTAAGAGCTGATGAATCTTCTCTTCCAACTCAAATGAGTCAAGTGCTCACCTTAGGGAAGGCATTATTTGCATGAACATGAAACCATGATCTTAATACAAATATTCTTAAACTTAGAAGATAGAGCCACTTGTGTTGAACATGGGGTTGTGACAAGAAACTATTTGGGTTACTATTCCAACTACTAGCATTCCACTTTCATATCTAAGATATCAAATAGTATTTTAAAAGATTTTTACTGCTAATATTACTTGAACACCACACTGCCTTACTGGTTAAAACATAAACAGCTTCATTGTGTGTAAATCATACTCAATATCTTTTTGCCCAAAGAACCCCTATTAATCCTTCACTCCTTAATGGGTCATATGCTAATTTTCCAGAAATATCTTCCACTTAATCTAGATTCAATGAAAACTATCATGATTTGAAAATGAATCAATAAATCACTTTTGGCTTCAGGGAGTTTATTATCTAGTAACATCTAAGAACCATATACAGGCCAGTGCAGTTGTTCATGCCTGTAATCCCAGCACTTTTGGAGGCTGAAGCAGGTGAATCATCTGAGGTCAGGAGTTCAAGAACAGCCAAGCCAACATGGTGAAACCCCATCTCTACTACTAATACAAAAAAAATTAGCTGGGTGTAGTGGTGCACGCCTGTAATCCCAGCTCTTTGAGCAGCTGAGGCAGGAGAATTGCTAGATCCTGGGAAGTGGAGGTTGCAGTGAGCTGAGACAGCACTATTGCACTCCAGCCTGAGTGATGAGCAAAACTCTGTATCAAAAACAAAACAAAACAAACAAACAGCAAAAAAACCAAGAAAACCATATACAAAATATACAGGATATTCAGAAATGAGAAAGATAATATAAGAATTGTCTAAGATGTACTTATGAGGTAAGAGATTTTGGATTGATAGCAGATAGAGGAGAATTTATTTATGAAGGTTACATTTAAGTAGAGATTGTAGAAGACAAAACTCAATTATTTGTGAGTAGATTACCTCTATTACAATTTATAGGAACCTGGAGGACTCAAGATGGTGCTATGAGAACAACCCAGGATTGGAGCTCTCGTTGAATCCGCAAAGAGGTGAGTCGGAGTTGCATTTCCAGACTGATCTTTGTTGCCCACAGAACGGGGAAACTTCCAAGTGTAAGGGAGACACGGGATGCCTGGCGAAGGTGGCAGCCGGGGCGGCGGCGGCCGGCCCTACCCAGCAATCCCCACAGGGCGCACTTGTCCGGGTGCCCTGTTGAACCGGCAACCTGAGACTTGAGAGGACTGGACTTGAGACTGAACGAGACTTGGACAGTAGGCCAGCCCAGGGGATTGCAGGGACAGAGCATTCAGGGTACCCAGTGGGACGAACAAAACCGCGATTTCAAACTATCCCGAGCAGACGGTCCGAGATGCTCTGTGGGGGAGGGGCGTCCACCACTACCAAGGCAACCCGCTCCAACAGAGATACACGCCCACTGCTGACGCAGCCAGCCGTTGCTGAGGCAACCCGTCCCTACTGAGATACACGCCCACTGCTGGCGCAGCCTGTCATTGCCGAGGCAACACGCTACAACAAAGAGACTCTGCCGCAGAGTGTGGCGGAGAACACAGCAGAGCCTGCAGGAATAGGGCGAATCACACAACAGCAGGGCGGGGACTCGGCAGGCAAACAGTGGCTAGTCTGCCTCCTAGCTGGGCAGGACACCTCAGAGGACATCGAAAAATAAAGCCCGAACCCCCCAACACAAAGCATTTGAAAAAAAAAGGGTTTTTTTAATGAGCTCTGTTGCAGCAGAATCAAACATAGCAGCCTAACAGCCCTGAATGAACAACAGAGCTCACAGCTCAGAAATTGAGCTCCTAAAAAGAGCAGACTGTCTCCTCAAGCAGCTCCCTGACCCCTCTATATCCAAAAGACTGACATTTGGCAGGCATCATCCTGGGACAAAGATAGTAGAAAAAGAAACGGGTAGCATCCCTCACTGTGCCACAGCTGCCACCCCAGACAAGCAGGGTCTGGAGCGGACCTCAGCAGTCGTACAGAGAAGGGGCTAGGCTGGTAGAAGGAAAACCAAGTAACAGAAATACTTCATCATCAACAATCTGGGTGTCCACTCAGAGATCCAATCGAAAAGTCAGCAACTACACAAACGACAAGCGGATAAACCCACAAAGATGGGAAGAAACCAGCGAAAAAAGGAGGAAAACACCCGAAACCAGAACACCTCACCTCCTAGAAAGGACCAAAACTCCTCACCAGCAGGGGAACAAAGCTGGACGGAGAATGACTGTGACGAAATGACAGAATTAGACTTCAGAAGGTGGATAATGAGAAACTTTTGTGAGCTAAAAGAACATGTATTAAATCAATGCAAAGAAACTAAGGAACTTAAAAAAAGATATGAGGAAATGATAACAAGAATGGATAACTTAGAGAGGAATATGAATGAATTAAAGGAGCTGAAAAACACAATACAAGAACTTTGCGAAGCATGCACAAGTTTCAATAGCCGAATTGACCAAGCAGAAGAAAGAATATCTGAAGTCGAAGACCAACTCAATGAAATTAAATGAGAAACCAAGATTAGAGAAAAAAGTGCAAAAAGGAATGAACAAAGTCTCCAAGAAATGTGGGACTATGTGAAAAGACCTAACCTACGTTTGATAGGTGTACCAGAAGGGGACGAAGAGAATGAATCCAAGCTGGAAAATACT